AAGATATGACAAAATAATAATTTATTAATTATCAAGGTCTCATGAGGGAGGGGGGAGTGGGGAAGGAGGGGGAAAAATGAGGACCTGTTGCCGGGGGCTTGAGTGGAGAGCAAATGTTTTGAGAATGACGAGGGCAATAAATGTACGGATGTGCTTTGCACAATTGGTGTATGCATGGATTGTGATAAGAGTTGTATGAGCCCCTAATAAAATATTTTTAAAAAAAGACTGGCATGGAGAATATATGAAAACAGATCATTTTATTTTGCCAAAAGACATTTGCTAGAGATTGGTCACTTACAGGGTGGAAACGTGGCTCACTAGGAAATTCAAGCTGAGCACACTGTGGCTGTCGATGCGGATACTGACTGACCTAGTGCAGAACGAAGAGAACTAAGATATGGCTACGTTGGCAAAGAGAAGTTTAAAGAGATGAAACTTTCAGTTTGCAATATTGATGGATGTCTGATGAATGGCCACATTTATGTATCAGGAGAGGCAAAAAAAGAAATAATATCCTATGAGATAAAAGATGCTATTGGGGTAAATGTATTAAATAAAAGTTGTGGTGGGGGGAGGTTAATCTCAGAAAGGCCCTGTGCAAAGCCAACCCTCGCTGCCTTCATCTGGATTGTAACATGGAAGACAACCTGTCAGTCAAGCTAGTGGCTTGAGAAGAATGGAGAAAAGAAACGGGACGATGCTGGAAGGAAGCCGCCTCTCTTGGGAATGAAGTGTCTGATGAAGTGTCTGATGAAAGTTGGCCCAAGTGGAGCTCCCGCTGACGCCCCGTCCCCTGCCCGGATGTAGTAGTGGCTGGGGTGCCGTCCCCTGCCCGGATGTAGTAGTGGCTGGGGTGCCATTTGAGAGTTCGCAGAACACATTTTTGTCTACTAATGGAAGAAGTTAATAATTGTTGCAAGGAATATAAATGAGTATAATGTTGGAAAAGAAGGTAGACAGTCTGCGTGAGTCACTCTGCTTTTATTGTTGACTTAAGTAAATTTCCCTGTTGTCGCATTTGAATGTGATTAGATTGGTGATATCCCTTACTATCTTACAATGAAAACCTTCTCAGACTATCACCCCCAAATCTCCTGTGAAATAATTGTGCTCCACTTTTCTCCTGACACAGTTGTTCAGAGGTTGATTACCGTCTTTCTCTGATTTTTAGTAAACGTAAAGAAGACATCATCAACAATGACTTTGTATTGCAGCCTGCTTTTAATTATTCTAAGCCTTTATTTGATGACAGTATGTCTAGTAAGACACACTTCTGTCAATCAATAAAATTACATTTCTAAATAAAAATACTACAGGTGATTTCCCTAACAGTGCAATTATAAAGAATTTTCATTTTCCTTTTTGATATTTTTCTGTACGTTAGAGGTTTTTCAACAATGATCGTGTTTCTTTTTAATAATCAGAAAAAGAAGGGTTGCGTTTGTTTTTACTTTCCTCAACAGCTCTACATAAATGCTCATCTGCTTCCCTTCCACTGTGTGTTGACATAAGGTGATTCCAACTCATAATGACCCATGGTGTATTGCAGAGTGGAATTTTGGTCCCTCAGGTTTTCATGGCAGCGACCTTTCAATAACACATTGCCAGCCTTTCTTCTGAGATTCTCCTGAGATCCCTCAGAGACTCCCTGCCATAGCTACTCCAGAACTCGCTACTATGGAGTCAGCTATAACTCGTAGCAACCCTGCAGGGCAGAGTAGAAAGCCTAGGGTCTCTAAGATTGTAAATCGTTATAGGATTTACCAACCACCTTGTCTTTCTCCCTCCGAGAAGCTGGTGGGTTTGAACTGCTGACCTTGCAGTTAGAAGCCCAACATCAATGCTTAGGACACCAGGGGCCCTCATTTTGTCACTGTGTTTTCTTTATCCTCCATCCTAACCTGATAACAGGCATGATGACAAGACTCGTGTGGGGTGGGTCATCTTTCTGCCTGTGGCAGAGACACCACTTCTGGGTCCCACGCTTCCCTGAGATACTGAGCCACCTTCCTCCATGGAGAGTTCAAAAACAACCTCCACCTCCAATATTCCTTTGTCATTTGGGAGTTGAGAATGGATAGAATGATTTCGCTCCCATGTCCTCCCCTTCTTGATGACTCCTGCACACGCTCCTATTTTATCTCCCTATGATTTCAGAGCTGGCTGGGAAGTATTCGTAAAGGATCATTACTCCATTGTATATAAGACGAAGCCAAGCTCTAGGATTTGCCTAGGTATGTTTTATACAAAAATGGAATTTGGACTCACTCAGGCACAAGCTCAACATGTGGAACCCAGAGGCTATAGTCCCTCAGATAAAATTAAGAATGCATGAAGATATGACCCTGATTAGATCGTAGATGAAAAAAGTTATAGGCGAAATTATCCTGGGATTTATCACAGCCACTAGAAGATAGATGTACCCATCTTCCAACAATGAAAAATAGCCCCTTAAGGACCATTTGCACTGGGGCAGCAAGACGGTACTGAAGATTTCCTTCTAGCCCACAGTTCTCACGTTGACATTGTTGACACTTTGGATCAAATATTTATATATGTTGGGGGTAGAAACAGGGGCTCCCATGCACTTTAAGATGTGTAGCAATATCCATAGCCCAGAT